TTCATTGGAAAACCAGCCTGGTAACAGGTTAATTAGACTAGACACTTCATCAGGAATATATAACAATGATCAATATATATACAACAACAAAGCCTCAAATATATGAAGAAAAACTGAATTAAATGGAGAAATAAACAATTCAACAACAGTTGAACATTTCAGTATCCTACTTTCAATAATGGATTGAATAGGCAGAAGATCAACAAGGAAATAGAATACTTGAACAATATTATAAACCAACTAATTCTAACAGAGACCTCTTGTCTTAGCTTGGGTTGCTATAACAAGATGCCATAGACTTGGTAGCTTAAACAGCAGATATTTATTTCTCACAGTTCTGAAGCCTGAGAAGCCTGAAGATTAAGGTGCCAGAAGATTCAGTTCCTAGACAGCCAGACACCCTCCTGCTCTGTCTTCACATGATGACAAGAGAGATAGAAAACTATATGGAAGCTCTCTATTTTTTTTTTAAGAAATAAGATCTTGTCCACTCTGGAGAGCAGTGGTGTGATCATAGCTCAGTGACAACTTGAACTCCTGGCATCAAACAGTCCTCCCACCTCAGCCTCCCAAATTTCTAGGATTACAGGCACAAGCCATCCTGCCTGCCCACATCTCTTCTTATAAGGGCACCAATCCCACGATAGGGGCATCATTCCCCTGACTAATTACCTCACAAAGCCCCTGTCTCCAAATACCATCAGTAGCAAAAGAGTGTGACTTCCTCTCTGCCAAAAAACAGAACAAATAGCCAGGCATTGTGGCAGCACCTATAGTTTCAGTTACTTGGGAGGCTGAGACAAGAGGATTGCTAGAGCCCAAGAGCTATGATGCCAAGGCACTCTACCCAGGGCAACAGGGTGAGACTGTCTCTAAAAAGATAATAATAATAAATAATAAAATCTCACAAAGACAAGCCCAGGCCCAGATGGCTGCACTAGTTAATTTTACCAAATGTTTACAAAATTAATACCAGTTCTTTATAAACTCTTTGAGAAAAAGAAAACCAAACAGAATATGAGGGAACATTTTTCAGTTCATTCTATGAGGCTAGTATTAGCCTGCATAACAAAACTAGTCAAAGACATCAAAAGAAAACTATAAACCAATGTCCCTGTATATAGATGCAAAAATCCTCAATAAAAAAACTAGTAAACCAAATCTAGCAGTATATTAAAAGGATTATACACCATGACTAAATGATATTTATCCCAAGAATGCAAGGTTGGTTTTTTTTTTTTTTTTTTTGAGACAGAGCCTCAAGCTGTCCCCCTGGGTAGAG